CTTAAAATCAAATTTATTTATGGAGCTACTAGTATGAGATAGAAGAAAAACCTGGAAAGATGATCAGCTCTGTCCTCCATCTAAAAGCCTAACTCCTAGATCAAGTTTGCTACTTTAAGGGGACTGCCCGTCAGTGACAGGGTGAGCAAGAATGAGTGTACAGGTGTCTGTGTGTGCTCACATGTCCTTTTATGAACCTTTTTATTTTCAGGTCCACGAAACTACAGGAAAGTGGTAAAAAAACAACCACTGTTTATATAGCATTTCCTATGTACCAGGAATCATTTTCCGTGCATCATCTCGTCTTATCCACACAACCATGAGTGCCATTGGCTCATTTTATGGATGGAGAAATTGAGGCATAAAAAGGTGAAGAGTGTTGCTCAAGGGCCCACACGATGAATGGGGAAACTGAGGCACAGGAAGGTGAAGAGTGCTGTCCAAGGGCCCATAACTGTCAGTTTCAGACCCACAATTACAGCCCAGGGAGCCTGATCTCGGAGTGTATGTGTTGAGCCACTGAGCTATTTGGCTCTCACGAAATAATGGCCCCATCCCAGCCAGCCTGAAATTACTGTGTGTTAGAGAAGGCAATTTAAAAGATGATATCAATATAGCATGGTTAGTGTCAATGCCGGTGTCCGGGGGTTTAAGGAAGTGACTGGTTCTATTTCTCTGGAGAACCCTGATGAATATATCCTGTTAATGGATCCAACAGTTTTGGGAATAGGATGGTCGAGACTCCCTGTTCATTCTGGAGGCTGCAGCTGAGATCTTGGGGCCTCTGACCAAACCAGCAAAGGGAAGCTTTCTTGTTAGTCAGACTCCTGGACCTATGCTCAGTATCTGGTTGAGTGAGGGAAGTAAGAACTTCTCCTCATCTTTTCTAAAAGAGGAATTTCCAAAATTTAGATTAACAAAAGGAAACTTTTTGGTTAGAACTAATTCTTTGGGTATTGTAACTCTTGGTTTGGATTAGTACCTCCCAGGGATAGCCATTGTGTCCATTTGTCATTCTCTTTTGTGATACTGTTTTGTATTGTGCTGAGTGCAGTTGTCATAAAAAAGAGAATCTTAGAACACTGACATTGGTACTCTAAGTCCATTATTCAAACTGATCTTACAGACACATTACATAGAAAAAAAAATGCCTCTCACCTTTTGTAACCCATTAACCTTTCTCTCAAGATGCAGAATGAGGAATTAAACCAATAGACTCCCTTTTACAACAGGGTGTTCTTATCTTCATCTCTTCACTCTGTAATACTCTAATCTTGCCAATAAAGAATGAAGGGACATTTGATTCAGGAGGAAATCAAATCTATCAATTTGTGCTAGAAGTAAGAGCCATAAACTCCTTTATGATCCCTTACCACCCCCTATGGTTCCTAACCCAGCTATCATCCTTAATCCAGTCCCTGCTGATGCACCCTGGTTTATAGTAGTTGATCTCTGCTCAGCTTTCTTTGTGATACCATTGCACCCTATATTGCAAATTTCTCTTCGCATTCACTTTTAAAGGAAGACAATTAACATAGATTTGCATACCTCAAGGATATTGTGAGTCACCCTCAATATTTCTGCAAGTCCTCAAAGCCAATTTAGACACAACTTTACCCAAGACTCTACCTCATGTCCAATATGTTGATGACCTCATACACAACAACCAAACTAAACAGGGTACTCTTCAAAACTCCCTCACTTTCTTGAAGGCACTTGGCTGACCAAAGTCATACAGCCTTCAGATCTAAACCTCAGTGGGTACAAAGAACTGTTGCTTCTGAGGCCATGAAATATTTCACTCCAAAATATCTTGAGTCAATTTTGTCCATTCCTCTTCTAATGACAAAGAAACTATTATGCAAATTCGTAGGGGTAGTTGGCTATTAGAGCCAATGGATTCCCAATTTTGCTGCCCTTGCCAAACCTTTAAATACCCTCCTTCCAGATATGAAAAGAACCCTATTCCTGGCCCTCTGAGGCACTGGTGTTCTTTAAAGCATTAAAGTTTGCATTGTCCACACCCCCAGCTCTTGGAATACCAATTTCAATAAACTTCACCTATATTTCTATGAAAATAATGGAATTATTGTAGGTAAACTTTTTCCTCTGATACATCCTGTAGCATATTCCTCAGGTCAATTAGACCCTGTGGCATCAGATGTACCCCCATGCCTTATGTGGTGGCCTCAGCTGCCACCCACAATGACAAAGTTGGTATCCTTACACTTGGCTACCCCATTCACCTTCTGGTTCCCTATGCTGTGTCAGCTCTCTTGCAAGGCCATAAAACACAGCACCCCTCTACATGATGGTAGACCACCTACGAACAGGTCCTATTAACCAATTTTTCCATCATCTTCTATCACTGTAAAACTCTAAACTCTATTACCCCTCCTTGATGATGGAAAGCCCCATTCTATTCCACGATTGCCTTATAATCATAGAAATGGTCTCAAAGCTGGAAAAATACTTCTCCGACACCTCCTTAGACGACCCAGACTTAATTTTACCTTGCATTAGCTCTTGTAAATGAAATTCTCAGGGAAACAAATATGCAAATCAAAATTAAAATGTCTGAAATTCTGTTCCTGATTTTCCTCCCAAACCTTCTCCTACACAGCTTCCTCTACAGGCCTTGAATCTGCTGCTTCCTCCACTTGGAATGCTCTTCCCTCAGATATCTGCATGGTTTTCTTTCTCTCTTGCTTTGGCTCTTTAATACTTAAGCATTTCTCTGCATTTTTTTCCTCAGCAACTATCAGTTATTAAAATCTAACCTTACACTTTGTCTTTATTCCATCTTCCCACTAGAATGTGAGTTCCACAAGAGCAGGGACTTTTATCTTCTTTTATCACCATAACCCAAACCCCTATATCCTTGAGAATGGGGTAATATTGACAAGTGGCAAGCTATTTCACCTGTACAGGCTTAAAACTTGGAGTCACTTCTCCAAGGTAGGGTGAAGACCAGGGCTGAAAAAGTGGGAACAGTTGAGAGTCAGTATAGAAAGCTTTTGAACTCCAAGATCCCTCCTTTATTCAGTATAGTCAGGTGACTCCCTCACCTCCTCCCGGGACTTATTTTATCGAGGAATGAAGTCTCTCATGCACTCCCATTGTGCTTTATGTTTGCCTTTAGTATGTTATAACATTATCCTGAAATCGCCTTTCTAACTCTCATCATCTATGCCGTGAATATTGGGTCGATACTTTTTCTGTGATGTTCTCTCAGCCCCAAAGTCAGTGTTTAGGATGACATTATTCATTGTAAATTGATTTACTTAATGAATATTTCATGCACGAAATAAAGAGAACCTGAACAAGGTCACAATGAGAAGCTAATGACCACTTAGAAATGGAGTGAGGGAGTGTTGTCTAGAATAACTTCCAAGGTTCTGGTTGGCAAGCAGAAGAGTCTGCAATGCCTCACTTGTGACTAAGTTTGGATAAAATCAAGCTTAGGATAAAATCAATTTTAAGATTAAACCAATAAAGATGTTGTCAACGTGGAGTAGATGGCTAGGGTGAGCCATCCAGGATATTTTCCTATCCAGGATATTACTACTTTTCTCATATAAATATAGAAGCAAAAACATTAGTAGGACTCAAATAGTAAGTGCATTAGACTGATTGACACTATTCTTTTAGAGAATGATTGATTGATTAAGCTTCCCATACAAGCTAAAGCAGTTGAGCCAATTCTTGTTAGACCCAATTCCTTGCAGTAGATACTGTGATACAGGATTGTTGGGTTCAATCCTCCCCAGAGTTTTTACCACAGAGTGTATTAGTTTGCATCCTCTCATACTGGTTACCTAGTTACGATGCAAGTATTTATGTGTATTTTTTAACCCTTTTATAACCTGTCCATGATATAAGAAGATGGTATTTGAAACTCAAATGAAATTTTAACAGGAACCAGATAATAGATCATTTGTCCTTATTTGCTATGGCAGTTTTTGCATGTACATGAGATAATTTTGCAGGTTGGGCATGATTAACTGGGAATAAAGAAACTTAGCTCACAGGTGGGACATTATGTGACCTTGTAGAACTCATTCTGATCAGGCAAAATAGAATCATCACCAACCGCCTCAGCAAATCTCAAGGAAAATTGGAGAGGCTGTGCTCACTCAACTTTCTGGGCTTGTGGTATGGAAACAAACATTATCCTTTATTAAAAAGATGTCAAGCTTCCTGTAGTAAAATAGAATTTCTGTAGATATTTATGTCTTACTGCTTATTTTCACCAAAATCAAAGCCAGGCTATTAATTGACTTTTCTTAATGGAGAATAAATTAATAAGAGACAGACTCCTATTTCTGATGTAACTAACCTTACTAGGATGGATAGAAATAGAGGTAGAATGTGGACACTTTAAAGGGCCTGAGCTTTGACCACAAATCAGAGCTACTGTAGTTGGTATTCCATCAGTTCTTTATGAGGATATTCTAAGAGCAAACAGGACTTCTCCAGCCTTCCTTCCTGGGGACAGGGAATATGGGGAACCACACAGTCAAACCATCATTCAGGAGTAGCTATTTTAAATCACATCTGCCTTGAGCCATATCCACCATGTAGGAAAATATGCCCAGCCTTTAAACATTTAGATGGAGGTAGAACTAAGCAATTGGTGTCATTCCTACCTTTTCATTCTGTTCATATTCCCAATGAATGGGCCCATTTTCATTTCTTTAAGTGCCTGACATCAAGAGTACTTCATTTTGATTGAACCACGAAAATAGGCTAAGAGAGACTGAAACAGTTCTCTGTAGGTTACTGAAGCAAGGTCACTATTTCAATCCTTGAAAAACTGGCCAATAGTGGAACATTAGCCAAAACTGTGCAAAGAAGGAAATATATGGGGAGAAAATTAGTGTAAAATGGAAAGTGTTGAATTTGTAGTGCTAATGAGACACCCAAGTGGCTATGTTCAGTAGGCAATGAAGAAAAAGGTCTGGGGATACACTGTTGGAAGTATTGGCAAGAGAGAAATATCATTTTCTAACCACCCATCAGTTTATTAGTATTTAGCCATACAAAGTAGAGGTTGATTACAGTCAGTGTACAATGTTTTTGCACCTGGACAGTACTAAAGGAAGTATAATAATTCTCAACTCTTTCTTTCATTGAACTTTAAGTTGGTAACCATAAAATTATTACATCAGAATTTTATAATAATCATGTAACAATAAATTAGTCATTGTATATCTTACAATAACTGCATTTAATGCTTACATTTAAAAGGTGATGCCTTTGTCTAAACGTCTACACATTTGAAACCATAGTTCAGGATGAGTCATTTCAGCAGATTTCAAATGTATGTTTGGCACTCATATCTTTTTCACCAACTTTATTTATAAGTAATTTTTCTCTTGTTTTACCACTGCCTTATCCATTACAGAAACTCATTTTTAAAAAGTTAGGGAATATAAGAATATACAAAATGTCTGATTTTGTTTTCAAATTCCAAGCTTCCTCTAGCATTTGTACACATATGTACTTAAAAATAAATAGATTTTGAGAGTGGGGAATTAAAACTGGAAAATAAAACTCTCTAAGGCAAATAGTTTGAATGACCCTTAACTCAACTATATAGCACTGGGAAAATTCACAACTTAAAATTATATACGATTGTAGTAGATATTAACAATTTAAAGGAAGTTTTATATTTTTTAATAATGAAAGACACTCTGGTAAATAGGTGAATTTCTTAGCATTCTGGTTGGTTCAAGTTGGTTGAATTGTTAAAGTTGATACTGAGGTAGTTCCTATCCATGATGGAAGGAGTTATAAGAATTTTTGCAATTCTAACATTTTAGTTCATGTAATGGTATTTCAAGATAATTTTCTAACATATATGCTATTCTTAATTGCTAAGAAACATTTCTTGTATACAAATTTCCTATAATATCAATCACAATAAAATAACTTAGGGCTAAGGTAAACTGTAGAAGAATTGAAAAAAGGCTGAGGTAAAGTAAATGTGTTTAAAGATATTATTTTCTAATTAAATGGGAACATATTTTCCCCTTTGGCATTATTTTAAATTGCAAAAATGTGGATTTTTAAAAAATAATCTAAATTTTCCACTTTGAATATTAAGAATATGAAGAATATGAAAATATAGATAAAGCTATACAGAGCAGAACTTAATTTTTCATATTGCTGAAATGGAAATAGACTAATATTTATGTTTTAAACCTCACTACATTGTATATTTATAACAAGAGTTAAATCCAATTATTCCTTTTGTTAAAACATGTATTCATTCTTTTAAATAATAAATATCTATAAAGTGCTATGCAACATACAAAAGAAACATCCAAGCATGGCCTTTCCTACTGAATTGGGTGGTTAACTCCCAATAGTTGTATAATTCTTTCAACTAGATTTAGCAAATATATGATTTTCATCATCCTAGTTTATGTAAAGTTGTAAAATAAATAAAAATGTCCAAATAAACCATTAATTTTACATATAGTATATTTATCTTCTAATATAAATGAACTAAAAATAGGAAACTTGATTTGGATGACAAATATTAAATATCATACATTAATAAAATATCATTCTATTTACTTGTTTATTATCAAGATTTAAATATGTTAAATATATTTTCTCAGGCCTTGCCAGCAAGAGGTGAATAAAAAATACTTACTTAGCCAACTAATTTTCATGATATACGATTAATAAGTGAAAAGTAGAGAGGCAGGTATCCGTATTTATATACAATCACATCAAAAGGGAATGATCCAAACCTAGTTCCACTATAACATCTTTCCTTTGGTATCCTTGTCATATGTCCTCATTTTATGAAATAAACCTGTAGGAAAGTAAAGCTCAGAAATGACATACTTAAACATAAAAAGTAAAATGTTATTAACAAGGAAAACTAAGCCTGTTTATTCCATCTTCATTAGAAACATGCAACTCTTAAATATTTGCACTAGTTTCTTTCAGAGAAAAATCCACCACTCCACTTCTAATCTCAGCCTATTTATAGTTGAGGGTTATAGGTGACAATTAAGGGAGAGCATGGTGCCTAATCTGTGAGTGTCCAATAAGTGACTTTTGATTAATAGTTTAGTGAAATTTCATCATTAGTGCTACAGTAAAATGACACAAAGTATATTTCTTGTTGAAATGGGTCAAAAATACCATGACAAATACAAAAAGTAGTACGTCATATTCTAAAAAAGCTTTTGTCCTTCAAGGCAAAAATTGAATAGCAAATCACCTAAGTTATACTGTTCTATATTTCAAAAAGACAAGACAGCCATCAAATTGGTCGTTTAGTAGAACAGAGAAAGGTTAGAACAGAGAAAGGTTTTTTTCTCTTTTTCTTTTAAGATTATTGAGATCAGTGTAGATATATTTCACCTGAAGATAATGCTAATATCTTTTCTTCTTCTTACACTTTCGGAACTTTGGGCTATATTCGTTTACTCTATTGTTTTCTGTGCTACTATCACTATCAGTGGTTTGCTTTTGCCTCTTTCGTTTATTCATCTGATAAAGGTCAGAGTTACTTGGTTGTTGGTGAGTCCATTCGTAAGAGCTGGATCCAGCCTCTGGATCTGGAACATGATTGAGTGAGGAAGACAGGGAGGCACTGCTAGGAAGTGGTGCTGTCATCTCATAGTAAGGAAGCTGCAGCATTGGATTATATGCATGCCACTGCTGTGAAAAAAAGACATTCATCTACCAAAACAATCTGAAAAGTTAAAAAAAAAAGTTAACAGCTTACATGCATTATACAAATAGCCACAGTTTCTTACACCGAACTATGTTTTCGTGTAAGAAAAACAGTGACTTTTTATAGCAGGGTTGTAGGAGTTTCCTTAAATGGTTAACAAAGATTGAAGATAGTGTGTAAGTTACTACAATATAGATTAGTGCTGTCCGACAGCAATATAATGCAAACCACATATATAGTTTTATAATTTCTAGTAGTCATAATACAAAAAAGAAAACAGGTAAAATTAAATAATATACTTATTTATCCCAATATATCCAAAATTTTGTCATTTTAACATGTAACTAATATAAGAATTATTAATAAGACATTTTACTTCTTTTCATATGAAGTTGTCAAAATCTGGTATGTATTTTATACTTACTTATATCTTAATTTGGATGATAAATTTTCATTTAAAGATACTTGATCTGAATTTAGATTACATAAAATTTACAGTTGAACAAACATATTCACATACCCAAGTTGTTTCAAATAGTCCTAAAAGTTTCCAACAACTAAACCAAGTGTCCATTTTTAAATTTTAATTTAAATTAATTAAAATTAAATAAAATTAAAAACCCAGCTCCTTCGTCCATGTGGCTAATAGCTCTCACACTGTACAGCAACATCAACTAGTTATGCTTCCTTTTTAAAAAAAAAAACAAGTTCTTAATTCAAATTTCTAACTATTCAAAGCAGATTAAAGATTAATAGAGATACCATGAACTTGTGTTTCCTGCCTCACCCCTGCCATCTCTACCAAAAGATAAAAAAACTCAGGGAAGAAGACATTGACAGTTTCGGGTGAAAACCAGTCAGTTGTTTACTAATGTTTTACTATAGTTAAGTTTTTTCCCCAAAAATTAAAGTATCATTTCACAGGAAAATTTCTTCCTGTTTACAAATTGAAAGTGGATACTTGAAAAATCTAAAGCTCACATATAAGTTGGGTATCTGCAAAAATAACAACTTGTGAATCAAAAGACCTGTTAGTTCCAACATCTGTCACTAACAAGCTGTGTAATGTTGGGTTTATTGATTAATATCCCTGGACTTCATTTTTTTTTTTTATGTATAAAATGAGGAGTTGAAAGAAAAAAAATTAAGTTCCTCTTCAACAATAAAACCATAATTAAGATTTCTAGGCCAGAACCAATTTTTCAGAGTCTTTGTAAATAATGTAGTTTATCAATTAAAAACCTTCATAGTTTTGCCTTTAGTTAAAAAGAGAAATTTATTTTTAAAAATCCATGTCCAAAAGAAATCTACTTATAACTGACTTTATACAAAAATGCTTCATTAAGCAAAATTATTCAATTCTTAAAACATCATTTAAAACATTCACTTAGAGGAGGACTCACTACTCAAATTTGACTTGGACTAGTGTCACTTCAATACCACCCACCCCTCTTCTGTGGATGCACTGGCTGTTAGCTGAGGTATTTCATAACGGGACTTAAGACGACCGTGTTAGAGCTGAACACCAATGGGGGACAGTGCTGGGGCATCTTTTGCCTTCATCCTGGGTTTAGATTTGAGCACCAAATGTTACAAATAGTTTTCACGTTCTTCATAGTTTGTATCATATTATATACTGAACCACATGCATATCAAACTTACCATCTTCTGAAAGAAAAAGTATTCTGGAGGTAAAGCGGTATTATTAATTGGAAAAAACTGCATGGGAAAGGAAGTTCTGCTCACTGTTTCTTCATTCCTTTGAGGAGATAAAAGCAGCAGCAATAAAATCTTAAAATTCCTATGGACAAGTGTCCTTTTCCCTTAGAAAATTACAGCTCTTCATAATTAAAAAGAGAGAGGAAAGAGATTGTGATAGCATTCAGTTAAGATTAATTAACTGAATTAACACAAATACTGATCATGGAGTGACACAGCAATATCTTAATTATTTAATTACTAAATATTGAAATCTGAATATTTAGAACCACATTTGGCTTTCTAATTGGAAAATGTTAGACAATGTTATATTTATATAAAGACAATGAACACTTAGATATTAACAGAGCAAAACAAGGCATTAATAATCACTAAGAGTACACTTCAATCTTCTACAGGTGTAAAAAGTAAAAAAAAAAATTCAATTTAGTTTTAAAGGTATCTTTACTATTTAACTATAAACATTATGCTCTTTCCTAAATGGACTGCTGATGTTAATATAAACATGTTTGCTAATGTCTTCCACACATTAATTGAAATAATAAAAAAAAAATCCTAATTTAAAAGCTGTGGTGTCCCAAAGTTGCATTTATAAGTGTAACATTTGCTTCTACGGAGATGTTACAAATACTGGCTGGACTCTAAAGTTACTCATCAATAGTCTACTTGCTCTGTAGTACATCATAATTTTAATGCTAAAACTACTAATCCTTAGGATAGGAAGTGTCTTGTGTGAAAGTCTGAAATCAGCACAGGCAGGGAGAAGCAAAGTGAGGGAAGGAGAATGACAGGAAGCAGTCAGGTGGAGACCCCATTTCTAAGTGGTGAGAGTACTATCTCAGAAGCCAGCAGAAGCGTGAATTTCATTAAGAAAGGAGTTAGACAGGTGTCAGTTGTTACAGAAGAGTAAACTGGATAAGCACGAGGCCACTGAATTGCTGATCAGAAGGTTCCTGATAACCTTCAAATGAGCAGCGTCTGTGCAACCATGGGGTTGAGAAATGAATGGGAACAAAGGATGCAAAAAATGAAACATTTTTTGGTGAGAGGAAGGAGAAAAACATCACAGTCTGATTAGGAGACAGAGTTCAGGGAGATTGAGCATGTGTTGGGGAAAGTGGCAAAGAAACAAGATTAAAGGTGGAATGAGATCACAGAGCGGCGAAGATCTGGCATCTTTAGGAAAAGAGGTGCAGATTCTCTAAAAACACTGTCTTTCCTACGTGAATCTCAGGGCAGAGTTGTCTGCACCGAGGAATCATATGTACATTGGGTACTATTATGGGTTGTTATGTTCCCCCCAAATCCAGCTGTTGAAATCCTAACCCCCAGTACCTCAGAATGTGATCTTATTTGGAAACCATCATTGCAGATGTCATTAAGATGAAGTCATACTGGAGTAGAATGGGCCCCTAATTCAATATGACTGGTGTTCTTATAAAAAGGGGAAATTTGGAGACAGATACATATAGGGAGAATACCATGTGAAGACAAAGGCAGAGATCTGGGTAATGCTTCTATATAAACCAAGAATACCAGAGCCCCATCACATCACTGGAAGGTAGGGAGAGGCTTGGAAAAGATTCTTTCTCAGCCCTCAGAAGGAACCAATCCTGCTGACACCTCAACCTTGGACATCTACCTCCGGAACTGAGAGACAATAAATTTCTATTGTTTAATTACTTCGTTTGTAGTACTCTGTTACAGCAGCCCTAGCAAACTAATACAGGAACTATTCATTAAAAACAGAAGGTAGAAAAGGCAACAAGAAACACAAAAACCCATTTCCAAGAAGACCAAAGACCAAAACATTACATGGGCACTATTTCTCTCTGCATATCAATTCTAGGATATAACCCACTTTCATACTTCCTTTATAATATAACAAACACTAGAAGAATAAAGTACTGCCAACAAAATGTAGTAACATAGAATCCACACATAACTCTGAGCCTCTACCCTAGAATTTGTGATGGTTTTGAAAGAGTGTATTAAACATAAGCAGAGAATACAAGCGTTTTACTGCCATCTTCTAGTGCCCATCTAGTCTTTTCTCTTCTGCCCCAATCCTGTCAATATCTTGTTTCTTCCTGACTCCTGAGGAGAAAGAGGTATCTTTTTCTACTTAGTGTTAGAAGAGGGGAAGTTCTAACATCGTATATATGGCTTGATCCATAAGTCTATAGGGCTTCCCCTACCAAAGCAGTAAATCCATTTTGCCTAGTGCCCATCTAGTCTTTTCTCTTCTGCCCAAATCCTGTCAATATCTTGTTTCTTCCTGATTCCTGAGGAGAAAGAGGTATCTTTTTCTACTTAGTGTTAGAAGAGGGGAAGTTCTAACATCATATATATGGCTTGATCCATAAGTCTATAGGGCTTCCCCTACCAAAGCAGTAAATCCATTTTGCTAACATTTCATGAAAACTTACTATGTGCCCAGTATTTTAAACACCTTTAATTCACTATAAAATTTGATTCTCACAGCAACCTTTTGAGGTATTATCCTCATTTCAGATATGGTGTACAGAGTTCGTTAAATAACTTGTCCAGGATCCCCCTGTTAATAAAGTGGCAGAGGCAGAATTCAAATTCAGGCAATCTGATTGCAGCACTTTTTCTTAACTTCTGATTTCGCTGGGAAGAATAAAGATATGGAGTACACTGTGTTTTACTGGGGTGCAATACTTCTGTTAAACACCTTTAATTCACTATAAAATTTGATTCTCACAGCAACCTTTTGAGGTATTATCCTCATTTCAGATATGGGGTACAGAGTTCGTTAAATAACTTGTCCAGGATCCCCCTGTTAATAAAGTGGCAGAGGCAGAATTCAAATGCAGGCAATCTGATTGCAGCACTTTTTCTTAACTTCTGATTTCACTGATAAAGAAATGCTGGGAAGAATAAAGATATGGAGTACACTGTGTTTTACTGGGGTGCAATACTTCTGTTAAAGATAAGCTTGGGTATTTGCCAATCCTAAAAGGCCACTCTCCTATGCCTCAGAGGGCTGATATAAATTATAGGGATAGCAGGTTCAGCTACTGTTAGTTTACTTGAGAATACTCAGTTCTTTTACAGAAGACAACAAGCAGGATGGATGAAACTCATAAGAAATGCTTTGTGCAGAATGTAAGTAGTTAATGAGACAGTAATGAAACTATTAGAGATAAGATAAGCAAGTAACTTGTGAGATAAAGGCAGAATTCATTCTATACATGAAAAAGATAGTAAATAAGTTAGTATCCCATAATACAGGCCAAAGAAAGATTCAATAGAAGATATGATGAAACAAATAGGAGTGCTACTTATAGATTGAATGGGAAGAAAAATACCAAGTTCTGATTGCACCACCTCTGGGCTAACAGTTATGCTTCTTTTGTCTTCACTCTGCCTAAGAATCTTAGATAAAACCTGTAGCCATCCAGCAGACAAACCAGCAAGATAGTAAATAAGTTAGTATCCCATAATACAGGCCAAAGAAAGATTCGATAGAAGATATGATGAAACAAATAGGAGTGCTACTTATAGATTGAATGGGAAGGAAAATACCAAGTTCTGATTGCACCACCTCTGGGCTAACAGTTATGCTTCTCTCGTCTTCACTCTGCCTAAGAATCTTAGATAAAACCTGTAGCCATCCAGCAGACAAACCAGCAAGATACTTCTGCAGTCAGGTGTATTTGCTCCTTGACTCTTCTGGAGAGCAAGCGAGTGACATTAGCTCCGTGTATACCCTTACTCAAACCTCAACTCCAGTCCTAATAACCACACTATCAGTGGGGAAGGCTGAAACAGCAGAGACAAACAAGGCATGTGAACATCAGTGTAACTAAAACTCAGCTAGTTAGTCCTTCTTCCCACTAGCACCCTATCCTAATTGGGCTAATCTATCCAATATCTTTCATTCTGCTTTTTCACTGTCTTTTAAACTGATTTGATTTGAGAGCCTTTCTGTTTCCTGACCTGTAGAATAGCTTGCTTGATACTGTACCTGAGGCTACCATGGCATCAAGAAATCAGGCTACACAAAATTCTAGAATATTTTGGAAATTAATACAGAGAAGTTCTAAAAAAATAGTAAAAATAAATAATTGAATAGCTTAATGTCAGACACTTCGTTTCAAGCCTAGGACTTTATCACCCTTGTGACCCTGAGAATTGTTTAACTTCTGCATCTCCATTTACTCAAATACAAAATATGGATAACAGTACCTTTATGACCCATCACAATAAGACCTTATATGCTTAAATGATCGAACAGCTATAAAAAGCATACAGGAAACTATAAAGAACACTACAAATGTAAATGTCTACAACAAACTACTGAAAATATTAAGACTGAACTTTAAATGAAAATATTTCCTTTTACTTTTCATGGGTTCAGAAAAAATGAATTCCTTAATTTTTTCCTATATCTAAGTGGAAAAGTTTGCCATAGTCCAGAATATATAAAAATTCTTCCTAGCACAGGAACATATTTATTTGCTTCACGTTTATGAAAAATATATTTTTATTTACCTGTAGCTGTGTGAATTTGTCTTAACACAGTTCTCAAAACTTTGGTTAGCTGGTTCAGAAGAGCGAGAACTCCCTTCAAATAAAATAGAATAACAGATTACTTCATGGTGCAATTTTTTGTAGCTCTAACATTAAACCATAAAATAACTCAAAATCTTTTAGACCACAGTATTGATTTAAAATTCCATACTCATATAAGATGGACCTGACCTCCAAATCATATTTACAGATTGTTTGCATTACTACAAATGAATGAATTATAACAAGCTTTGTCCAAAGCAGTGGCTATACATAAGAATTACACTGACACGGGACTATATAAGATACATGATGTGGTTTTGTTCTACACATCTGTAAACTAAAATTCGCAAGTGTAGAAGGCATGAGTTCTCTGACTTGCACAGAAAAAAGCCAATTTGACCTTACACAGGATGTGTCAGAACATAATATGCCCTGGGCTATTCTACCAGCCTGTGTGAGTTAACTGGACAGTACCAGACAGCACAATGCAGCCACACATTAAAAAAAGAAAAAAGAAGAANAAAGCAGTAAATCCATTTTGCTAACATTTCATGAAAACTTACTATGTGCCCAGTATTTTAAATACCTTTAATTCACTATAAAATTTGATTCTCACAGCAACCTTTTGAGGTATTATCCTCATTTCAGATATGGTGTACAGAGTTCGTTAAATAACTTGTCCAGGATCCCCCTGTTAATAAAGTGGCAGAGGCAGAATTCAAATTCAGGCAATCTGATTGCAGCACTTTTTCTTAACTTCTGATTTCGCTGGGAAGAATAAAGATATGGAGTACACTGTGTTTTACTGGGGTGCAATACTTCTGTTAAAGATAAGCTTGGGTATTTGCCAATCCTAAAAGGCCACTCTCCTATGCCTCAGAGGGCTGATATAAATTATAGGGATAGCAGGTTCAGCTACTGTTAGTTTACTTGAGAATACTCAGTTCTTTTACAGAAGACAACAAGCAGGATGGATGAAACTCATAAGAAATGCTTTGTGCAGAATGTAAGTAGTTAATGAGACAGTAATGAAACTATTAGAGATAAGATAAGCAAGTAACTTGTGAGATAAAGGCAGAATTCATTCTATACATGAAAAAGATAGTAAATAAGTTAGTATCCCATAATACAGGCCAAAGAAAGATTCAATAGAAGATATGATGAAACAAATAGGAGTGCTACTTATAGATTGAATGGGAAGAAAAATACCAAGTTCTGATTGCACCACCTCTGGGCTAACAGTTATGCTTCTCTCGTCTTCACTCTGCCTAAGAATCTTAGATAAAACCTGTAGCCATCCAGCAGACAAACCAGCAAGATACTTCTGCAGTCAGGTGTATTTGCTCCTTGACTCTTCTGGAGAGCAAGCGAGTGACATTAGCTCCATGTATACCCTTACTCAAACCTCAACTCCAGTCCTAATAACCACACTATCAGTGGGGAAGGCTGAAACAGCAGAGACAAACAAGGCATGTGAACATCAGTGTAACTAAAACTCAGCTAGTTAGTCCTTCTTCCCACTAGCACCCTATCCTAATTGGGCTAATCTATCCAATATCTTTCATTCTGCTTTTTCACTGTCTTTTAAACTGATTTGATTTGAGAGCCTTTCTGTTTCCTGACCTGTAGAATAGCTTGCTTGATACTGTACCTGAGGCTACCATGGCATCAAGAAATCAGGCTACACAAAATTCTAGAATATTTTGGAAATTAATACAGAGAAGTTCTAAAAAAATAGTAAAAATAAATAATTGAATAGCTTAATGTCAGACACTTCGTTTCAAGCCTAGGACTTTATCACCCTTGTGACCCTGAGAATTGTTTAACTTCTGCATCTCCATTTACTCAAATACAAAATATGGATAACAGTACCTTTATGACCCATCACAATAAGACCTTATATGCTTAAATGATCGAACAGCTATAAAAAGCATACAGGAAACTATAAAGAACACTACAAATGTAAATGTCTACAACAAACTACTGAAAATATTAAGACTGAACTTTAAATGAAAATATTTCCTTTTACTTTTCATGGGTTCAGAAAAAATGAATTCCTTAATTTTTTCCTATATCTAAGTGGAAAAGTTTGCCATAGTCCAGAATATATAAAAATTCTTCCTAGCACAGGAACATATTTATTTGCTTCACGTTTATGAAAAATATATTTTTATTTACCTGTAGCTGTGTGAATTTGTCTTAACACAGTTCTCAAAACTTTGGTTAGCTGGTTCAGAAGAGCGAGAACTCCCTTCAAATAAAATAGAATAACAGATTACTTCATGGTGCAATTTTTTGTAGCTCTAACATTAAACCATAAAATAACTCAAAATCTTTTAGACCACAGTATTGATTTAAAATTCCATACTCATATAAGATGGACCTGACCTCCAAATCATATTTACAGATTGTTTGCATTACTACAAATGAATGAATTATAACAAGCTTTGTCCAAAGCAGTGGCTATACATAAGAATTACACTGACACGGGACTATATAAGATACATGATGTGGTTTTGTTCTACACATCTGTAAACTAAAATTCGCAAGTGTAGAAGGCATGAGTTCTCTGACTTGCACAGAAAAAAGCCAATTTGACCTTACACAGGATGTGTCAGACATAATATGCCCTGGGCTATTCTACCAGCCTGTGTGAGTTAACTGGACAGTACCAGACAGCACAATGCAGCCACACATTAAAAAAAGAAAAAAGAAGAAAAAATGCAAAGAGAAGCACTTTTACTCTGCAAGAAAGCATTGTTTTTGCTATTATTTGGTTTTAGTATAGTAAGAAGAATAAGAAACAAATGAGTGAGACATCAATTAGCCTGAACCATTTAAGGGAGGTAATGTGAGTACTGCAAGAATTACCAGATGGCCTCTGTCAGTCCCCTGGAACACGAAAGGGCTGAAGTAATAGGATAACATTCTCTGGGCATCTTACCATAGAAGGCCAGTTCCTGACATGTGCACAGAGGAAGGTGTCTGAGATCATTCATGTCAGGGAGCTTTCTTCCACCCCTAGTAAGGGTCACTCTACAGCTGCCTTTGGCCACTTTGCTCTTACAGGGGCTTATATCCAGGACAACATGTATAGAATGATTTTCTCAAAATAAGGACTAATGTGCCCATTCTATTTTCCAAATAGTAAGTATTTGATACCACACATTAACAGTGACAAGAATATTAGCTATATAAATGCTGGAGTTGTGCGTTCCCAGTTCATTTAGATTTATTCAATTTATAAGAGCCAACAACAACCATCATAGCTACTTGCTGGCTGATACTAAAACAGAATATCTTAAATTTAAACATAGAAAAGATGCTATAGGTTTGGCAATACAATGGGTAATACTAATTAATTATATAGTATCATGAATTAGACATGTATTCTGAGAAAATCTAACAGTGACAACAGAGGAACTTTTCTGTCTTACACTACATAGAAAACAAAATGCTTACACCTCAGAGAATAGCAGCAGCCACAAAACACACTTGGAAGATTCATCAGTGACAAGAACCTACCGAATCGATATTGCACATTAATTGGTCTTCCATATAAACGAATTCCATTCAGCAAAGCTATGGCATATGACACCGATTCTGGGTGTTTAAAGCAGACAAATCCAAAAGACTTTGGCTTTCCTTCTCTGTCTTTGCATATAGTCACTTTGGTTAGCGGCCCAGCCTATAAGAAACTTAAAAATTATTTTCTCATAAATCCAAAGATTTGTTTTTACACTCACATAAATCAAGTAAATTCAACTTTAAACTAAAAAAATCTATTAGCAATAGCTTTATGTAGCTCAGCTAATAATGTATCTTCCTAATAATAAATATCCCATTTTCTCATACTTTATATTTTATGGCTCATCAAAGAAAACTTCATGGTGTTAAGAACAAGAAATTCTAAGTAACAGTTCCAAATCTTAAAAGGAAAGATAGATTACTCTTTTGTTAGGCTTGAACCAATTTTGAGAGCACTTAAATCTAAGATTAAAATAGTATTTTGTCTCTATACACAGTAGCAGTGTTCAACTCAAAAATGAATTGAAATGACAAACTCGTTGTTGGTTGAATTATCCTCAAAAAAGCTGGCAACACTGTATTATAGTCTAATTTTTTCTGTCAAGAAGATTACAAATCATTACAAGAGAAACTAAATTAATCATATATTTTGATCTGGTAACTCCATTTGGTAAACAGTCCCAAAGGAAAAACGTTTTAATATGTTTAAGTAGGTGCACTATTTGTAAGAGTCATAAATTAGAAAGGCTCTAAATCTAACAACTGGAGATATTATTCTATAATGTATTACTAAAACAGAATAAAATACTATAAATTATAAATATTCAGATTGTATTGATAGAAAAACCTACAACAAGCAACAAAGAGTAAAAAAGCAGAGCCAAATATTGTAGAAAAGTGTTAATTACAACTAAGAAAAAATTACATTACCACCATGACAATGATCAGAGGAGGCATTCACAAAGACTTAACAAACAGATGATTTAATGGTGAGTGGTTCATACTTTAATGATTGATTAGTTTTCTTGGTAGAGTTGAATAAATACAGAAAAAACTGCTTTTAAACTAAAGAAAACCATTAATCATCACCTTTAAAATGATGCTGTATCTCAGAATTCAGTCTTTCCCTTTCCATTCTGTGCTCTCCCAGGGACCACCTTATCAACGAATCTGTCTTTCCTAATCATGTCTCTTCCATGAAGACAGTCTCCTAAAGACCTCTATATGATTGTAGTTCAAAGTCAACATATTTGAAACTGAATTCATTATCTTTCTCCTCCAAATCTCAATCTAGTATTTTAAAGCTGATTTTCTCACTTCAAAGTATAATCAGAAATTTGAAAGAAACTAGTAAACGGATAAATAAATGTACAGTAATAAAAATAAAACAAATTTTACTGATACTAAATATATGGAATCATAAAGGGATGAATGTGCTTAAATAATCTGAATTTTGACATAATTTAGATATGCCAAAGTATTTTTAAAGGTAAAATTCAACAAGAAGACCTGCTTATAGCAACAACTACATTTTATAGACTTTTAAAACCAGAATGAAACACATAAATAGTGCGGCAAGTTGTCAAGTTTTGTTAGGTTTTGCTTGTTTGAAGCCTTTGGAAAAGATACCTCACTTTAGCAAATCCTTCCAGCACCTGGACAAAAATAAAAACCAATGCTTATTACCTGATCTATTAGACAAAATTTACATTTTGTTTAGGTGAAAAAAGAAAATTATAAAAAATAATGTATTATATATAGTCTTATGAATTCATACAACTGAAACAGATCCAGTCCTTGCAGACTAGAAATAATGTGTTTGTATGGAGTATCCCAACCCCACCACCATCTTCCCCCACCCCCTTTTCTGGAGGCTCGACGCCAAAGAAGCCTTCTGGAGAAAGATAACTAAGTTTTACTTTACATTCCTTTTTTCCCCTTTTTTCTATTAGTTAGAGTGACAGGTTTCAAGTGATATTTGGTGGAAAAACAGACATGGATTGGAGTTGGTTTAAAAAAAAAAGGGCAAGTTTAAGAAGATGGCAAATTAGAGGGATAAGCATACAAGTCTTAAAATGAACAATATTCTTCAGATAATAAAAAGTTTTATGTCCAAGAAAGGAAACTGTGTTCCTGGACAGAATCCTCTCTACCAAACTGTATGTATCTATAATTAACAGAAGGATGCTTTAAGTCAAGTTTGGAGACAAATGTAGGTCCTTCCAAATCAAATAAAGAACCTCTTTCTCCGCTGGTACTCATACTCAATCTTGGAAATTTAGTTCCGCGATTGACTGTTTGTCTTCCCTTACTGTTACAGGAGGAAGTAACTCTTGATTTCTCTTGATGTTAGTAGTATATTACTAATAGTAATAGTAGTACTATTAGTAGTAGCAGCAGCAGCAAACACTTTGTAAGTGTCAGGCTCTGCTCTAACTATTTTACCTAGTTTAGGACACTCATTCCTCACAATCACATTATATTGTAGATACCATTACTCCCATTTGACCTTTAAGGAAACTGTGGCAATGAAATATTCTTTTACTGACCCAAAGTCACATAGCTGACCTCAGAGCTCACACTGTGAACCACTTTTCTATACTCTTGTACCGCTTTTGTAGATTATCCTAAATTGTGGTAATTTATTTTATGTTTCCCCTTTCAGAAAGATCAAAAGGATGACTCTTAAATTTGTAAGCGCAGCACCTTACTTAGCGTTTGCCCCGTAATTCTGGATCATTAAAACGGTTAGATGAATGGCTGAGTGACTATATAGCAAGTGAGACTCAGGTGTACACAAAAGATGTTTACAGGACACAGAAGGTTTAATGCTGGAGGTAAAAGGTCTCCAAAACTTTCCGAAGGGCCTTGGCCAGGGAATCAGTTAGTCACAGTCATGGTAAACTGGCTGCCAAATCATCTCAAATCTCATTTATCATAAAGACCTCTCCGCATAAATGGGCTTGAAGGAATGAGTAATGTATAGAGAAACATTTTAAAAGCTACATCTCTCATTTCGCTGGATGTAAGGCGTGAGGCTGTTTATCACCTGAAGGAAGACAGTGACAGAGCACTTTTCTGTTCTGCCCGAGCACACCCAAGGCCCAGGCAGCCTCTCCAAAGGCCTTACCCAGGGCTGGGGATTGGGTGGACTCCATTCACTGCCCACCCTCAGGACTCTGCATTGGGGATGGGGCGCACTCTATGTCACGTCTCTCCCCAGCCGCTCACCTGGAGACAGGTGGGCCAGGACGAAAACTAAATTAAAACCAAGGCCCAGGATGGGGCGGGAAGGGGGCCGGCTCGTGGTGGTCCAGGTGAGCCCCGCCTCCCGGCTGCTCTTGGGCCTGACGCGCTCCACCCCCCCGCCGCCCCTTCCCAGCGGACGGTACCTGAAGGAACAGCTCGTAAAGAATCTCTTCCCGCACTCGGGCCTCTAAATTCCCCACAAACACAGTCCTGTCGGCCTCCTCCTGAGCAGGGAACATCCCTCCGGTCTCGGTCCCAGGATGGAGGAGG